TCGCCATGACTTGGGATATCACTCCAGTGTGCAATGAATGTACAGTGTAACGCAGTCAGACGTGGCGAATAAAAATTATAACCAGAGCAAAATTAACAACATAATCTAGTTGATTAATTAGAAATACATTATGAAATGACGAAATCTGTGATTACTTGAACTCACAGATGACTCTGGGCGATACATTAAGTTTACTTGGTTGCGTTGCGGATAAATTCACCCCTAATGAGTGGTAGTCTGACCACTTAACTGCACTGGTTCTGGTCAGTTTAGTAGTTATTTGAGATTTATATATCTCGTAGCTGAGTGAGTACGTTTGTCTTAGAGTAGTAAGATTTCTGGATACCATGTAGGAAGTTGGTTGATCGCAGTGTAAAAAAAACGAAGTAAAAATTAGGGTCCTGTGAGTTGAATAGTATCGCGAAGTCCTTGAAAATTCATTAATCAGGTGCTGCTATAATAGTTTTTTCATATTTGCATCGCAGACTGGCGATTATTACTACTTAACTATATAAACAGAGCAGAGAAATCGTTTATTTTTATATGAAATGACATTATCTAAGCATATATTGTCATAAAAATTGTATTGTCGTCAAGGCTACCAAAACTGCGCTACAACTAACGATACCATGATAACATTTATCGTTTTTCCTTTCTCTATTACAGTTTTGGCTGATTTCCACTGTTTTGTTCGACTTTTATGGCAGACATAGGCTAATAGTGAAAATATTAGCTGTCCTTAGTGTTGTCAATACTATGTATATGCTGTAGATTGTTATAACACATACCAATATGTTAATATCACTTTCTACAGTTAGATATATAAGCTACCAAATCATTATATTGCAGGAAATAAATCATAATCATGCGAGAGAGGTACAATTATGTGGAGATTTTACCAGAGAGCAAGCTAAGATTGCTTTATAAAGCTAATTAGCTTATAGGTAGTATATTACCTCTTGAACAGAGTTCCAATGTTCAGGCTGCAGGTATTCTTGCAAAGATAGCCAATAGCAGAAATAAGTACGATTGGGTAATCAAGATATCTTGATCTCAGGTGACCAGATTGTGTGAGATCGTATATAATGATCTTCGAAAATCACCGAAAGCCTGGCTAGCTTATATGCTGATGCCGTAAATGACAATTAATTATACCTTGCGTGAGACTAAAATAAAAAAGGCACCAATAATTGCAGATTATACAAGACGATTCAAAGTAAGTTCACATAGCAGTCTTTATATATATATGAAGCAAATAAGCGTGATGTACCAAATGCACTCTCGATTTGTAATTGAATACCGGTTTCTCTTTTTATATTAGTTTTGGGTAAACATTTATATTGTAATAGTTATTTCCTGTCTATCTTATTTCCAGCTGGCTTCGCAAGTGTTCACCGACCTAATTGGAACAATTCTTAAGATCTGGAAGTTATTCAATAATGGATCATTTTCGTTGGATTTCAACTTTAATAAACGTTCTCGCTTATAACACATCAGTGTTTTAATTACGGCAGTGCTTACCTATCGTGACAAGTCAAAATTCGACCTAGTAGTATAGTAAATCATGTTCAAAGTTGCAGTGTTTGGTAAACAGTGCGTATAACTAATCGCGTGTGCGCTAAACTGGTAATTATTACACAAGAACGCGAAATAACATCCCTTTTTCACAGCGACATAAGACTTCACAGTACACTCTCCCTACCGTAACGCTATAAAAATGAGTTAATGCCCATATAAATAAATTTATGTAAAACTAAAAAGATTACAATATTAGAACTTCTTGTCATCAAGAAGCATAGCTATGGTCAGTGTTAACAATGGATTCTGACGATGTAGCTTCATCATTAGCACCGATTGAACTCATCACTTGTGCGCATATGTCTTCAGATGCTTCGAAGCATGAACGGATGAGTTTACTTGCCAAGGGTTCACTAAGAGCATGGATTGAGTGGTAGTTGTTAGTGAACTTCTCTAGCAGATCATCACTCCCGGTAGAGATTGACATGTTGTCCATCGCACGAAGAACCAAGTCCATTATATATTTCCTTGTCCACCGGCTGCTATGTCGAAATAAGTCTACAATGCTTATAGAGACAAAGGAACACACACTTACCTCCAATTATTAGATCTTTAGAATGTGCATACAGAATATGACCACAGGGCAGCATGTAGTCATTGAAACGCTCACAAGCACATGGTGCACGTGAAGTACCAACAACATACATCATACCCTTGTCGTAGCACCGGATGTATTCCCCTGCTATAAATTCGTGTCTCATTGACCTAACACGTTTATAATTTACAGCTACAATTTTAGCTGCAAAAGATGTGAACTCATTTAAAAGAGTTCGAAATGACATAGGAACCTGGAACTAATGAAACATTTAACTATATTTCTTACCTCAACAATTGGAAAACGTTGAAGATCCTTCACAGCGTCATATGGACGCAAACGAAGGTCAGTATCTGTTTTGCTCTAAATTTTCCAGAGCGTCAATAGCAGAGAATCACCTCTTCTAAGACATTCTTTTAGATGTTTATGAGCACTTTCGACACGGTTGTTCGTGTGGTTACCCAGGCTTAATACATGTCGCCGGTAACAACGGGCCCACATTGACTTCCGGGCAATCCAGTAATCTTTGATGTAATCATACGCCCGTGGGAAATGGATCCTCAGATGTTCGTACTTTTGAGTAAAATTAATATAATGCGTTACGAAAAACGAAGCTCGTGTATCAGACCGTCTAGTCTTTACAAGAAGTTCCAAGCATTTGCGTACATCAGGATTTCGGAACTACAGAAAATAATTTGAACAGCTAACACTTACCTTCCTGAAAAATGCTCTTAAGACATGGAATGAACAAAGTACTATGTCGGCATGACTGTGCGTAGACTACACTGCTGAAATTTTGGTTGCTGCCGAATCCATAACAAAAGTGTGTGTATCATAAGTACAGCACATTATATCTTTGAAGCATTCCAATAGTTTTACATCTCGTGGTTCTTGCTTGCAAAAAGCATACATAACAGTGTGCCCTTGCCCAAGACTATCAGTCACCACTAGCTGGAACAGTGGAAAACTGTAAGATAAATAAATTGCGATTCGTTACTTACCCAACTTTGTTGGTCTGATAAGTCGAGTCGATACATATTACCTCTGGGAACGCGTGGTAAACAGCTACTTGCTCCCTACGACTGAAGCAAATCATAGATATGTTCCCATGTTCACTTAGTACTTTAACTTCAGTGCTTGCTTGAACACGTTGTAAAATGTTATTGATATTTTTAATGTCTAAGCTCAATTAATTACAATGTGATTTCAACAACCTGGGTACCACTGTGAACACATTTTAGATTTGGGTCATCATTGTTCTTTTTACATACTGACATAACGTACCTAGTATACGTATACTACAAAAATAATCATTAACCACAGAAGTCATCTTACCTTATGTACTTATTTCAAACAGGTCTCAAAATTGTCCCAACTTGTAAATCTCCGAGATAACATAATATCATTGAAGATTCGTCCTATATCATGCATCATTACTATGACATCATCTTCGTTACTTGAAGGATGGACGTTATCAGACATGGTGTGGCTGAACTCAATTCAAATCTAAAAATGTCTTGATTTGACCGCCTCTAAAAAACTTCACGAGTTGTCGATGTGACGCACCAATCATCTTGAGACAGTTTGACCTTCAAGTGCTCGCAACCCCCATAAGTGGACGATACCCCTGAAGCGTTGCCTCTATTTACTTTAATTCGAAACTTCCTGTTCTTTAGGAAGTCTCGATCCCAAGATAGAGTAGGGCCTGTCTGACCCATCTTTGAAACCTTCGCTATGAGTACTTGAGGCGCTCTATAAAAAACTTCAGCAAATTCGAGGAATATTAGGTAAATCTGTATATTTTGGTCCCAACAGGACGTCCATGATATGAAATTAGACTCACAAGATCTGCCTTTCCTGAATTCGTATTGAATTTTCTAATGGGATGTTGTTCTTAGCTATGTATTCTCTCATTTTCTCATCCAACTGTTCTGGGAGTAATGCGACTGGTTTGTATCAGACTGGATCTTTTCTATCTCCTCCTTTGAAGATTGGGCTGTTTACATTTTCTTGGCAGTTGGTGTAAATCTAGTGAGTGCCTGAACACGTCACACACTAGTATCCTGATGGCCTCCGGGCAGTTTCAGGATTATAGGTCGGTTGCTGTCACATCCTGACTTTACTGAGCGCATGAAGCTAGATGAATATCTCCAGCACGCTAAACTAACACTGAAATTTAGACGCAGGAGAAATTGATTGAGATGGCATGGCTTAGCCACTACAACCTCTTCCCTTTTGTATCCCAGCTCATAATGTTCTTCGTATTGCTGGTAGTCGCGATAGGACGAGCCAGATTGACTTCCAACCACGAAGGCAGGTATGTGTCGAACGTCTTAGTGACATCATCATATCGGTTCGATTTTGATATTGGGAATATCAAACATGATATCTGGTCGACCCACATACGCAACAGTCCAATGACTTCATTTACTCAAACCTGTTTAGGCGGTCGTTATCTACATGGTACAGATAATTTAAAATGACAGTATCCCGCTAACCACCATTACACAAGGCACCCGGCGTCTGTAGGACTAGTGGTACTGTGCAGAGACCTGTCTATTCTGGAAAACTATCAAACCAAGATACGACCTAAACCGTACGCAACATGAAAGTCTCGTTAGCGGATAAATCTAACTCACAACTGGTTTAGAAACAACCCTATCAAATTTGACCGTTCAGTATCACCAGAATTCACAATGATAAAATAAGACTCAAAACTAAGAACGTATAACTACATACGCACACATAAGTTAAACGAGATAATATATGTTGAATAAAGTGATATTTGAATACAACAAACAATGTACAACAAAACATTATTAAGGGAGGATAAATAAATAATGTATATCTTTTTTTTCTAAAAAAAATAGACAAATACAAACACAATTTATTTAACACGTTTCCGTTGTCTGTCTGTTTGAGGCTGTTTATTTTCGTCACAAACTCGTAGAGGTACATGCCGAGACACAGTTGAAACACCGTCTACAAATTTTGTTTTGAATAGTACATTAGCATTGTTGAACATTCCATCCTTCAGTGATACTACAATGAACTAAATCCAAAGGAAGCATAAAAATAACGAATCGACTAAACTAAGTACTGTGAAGTTTCTAAATACGAGTTATATAAAACAAAGGTAACTTATTTACTTAACTACACAAATCATTGCTATTACAATACGCGTGTAGTGTCTGTCATTATGTTAAGCCCAAATACCTTATTATTCTAACTTTCGGACAGCCCATTCTATTCATTCTATTTGAGTCACATTCTGACCTTGTTAATTATTCGCTTATCAATATCTTGACCATCTTTATATGAGCGCGTAGGTGTATGTACACTTCTTATTCCATTACTCATCACATGTCTGTAATTTATTTTTGCGAGCTTATAAATATTGATTAACGCTTAGTTAACAGGGTGTTGGCTTACCAGCCATCTCCACCGCGCGCCAATTTAGCTTCGCTTTCTCATCTTCGCATCGTTCCTCCGTTCGTTTTGTCTAATCAACAATTATACAAAATATATGCATTCAAAACTCCATCCTCGTTATTTGACTTATTTAATTCCGTTATTAACTAACGCGATTTAAGTCAATGATTATATACGAGGATGGGTGATAGCATGCATTCATACGATCAAATTGGAGTCAGATATCGGGCCACTAAACGCGCAAAATAATACTAATAATACCGTAATGAACACATAAAAACAACAATCATTATATTTTGTATCGCGAGATCCTACACATCCTTCATTTAAAACGCTGTGTGGTAAGGCCGATCTACTTGAAATTAACAGACTGCAAATTAGAACCTTCCTCCAGACTACATAGATTGGAACAGAGACACGTCAACTGTTAAACACAATGTGTAATAGTGACATTTATTTAAAGTTACGTGAAGACCATAATAGATTTACACATTGCCAGTCGGCAAAGGGAAAATATTGCACATAATAATGCATATAAGCTAAATGATCATACTTTTCTAATTTATTATGTGAATATTAAAGAATAAACGACTTGCAATTTTCACTGTTAGGAAGAATGGCCTATCAGTCAAATCCATTTGTACATCGATAATCTTTTCTTCCTTATTCGAATATTTCTGTGTATTACATAATGCTACTTATTTAAACAGTAAACAATTTCAAGATCAATCAATTCGAAAATACAATGAAAAAAACGGCTGGGTCATTCTATAGGTATCATTACCAAGATTTGATTTGATAATTTCGAATAAATTGAGCATCGGGTTGATTGTTATAAATAAATAATCTAATTTTCTACTCATTGGGATATTACAAATATATTATTTATTCATGGGCCATTCTATATTACTGCTTAGCGCTTGCATGGACCTGTGTCATTCTGTTTACTTATCATTCTGAATGCAACTTTTTAATAATTTTGATGGTCACTAACAATTTTTTCTGGCGCATTCGTCGAAGCGTAGCAGCTTCCAATTTTTTAGATCTTAATGTCTGTTTCAGATGTTGACAGCTTGCGAATTTGGACACAGCTATGTACTTATGTTGAGATTATTGTATGTTTATAAATAATAATTACAAAACCCTTAAAAAGCATCTCTCTTTATGGTTGAACATATCGACGCCTCATGAATATAGGTATGTTGATATTTAGTATATATTTTTGCACCCTTCTTCATAAAACTACTCCATTTGGATTTTGAATTTAACAAGTCAGTTCGTCATTGGATTAGGAGTTTAGGTATAATCCACAATGTAATCATGTAATAATTTACAGAAACAATTGTTGTAAACGGAAAAAAGAGAATTTTCAATATACCTACCTGCGAATGCTTAAAATGATTTTTAATCAACTGACCAATATTTTGTGTATGAGATAAATCGAGCGCTGCATCCACTTCATCTAATATATACAAAGGTGCAGGTTTGAAGAGTAATAAAGCCAGAATAAGTGAAAGGGCAGCTAGTGACCTACGAACAAGATAAAATAATAAAACACACAAACAAACTGTTACGAATGCAAAGAATAGAAATAAAAGATTATATATGTATATATGTAGGAATTAAATTCATAAAAAATGAATAAAAGGACAGGTGGCACCTGTACATCCTGCAGAAACATTATTTTCCAAAAGTGAAAAAACACCATTTATTTACGGACACTAATTGATAACTTAAAAAAGGTAGAAATCCATATCTTCATTAATAATATGTTTTCATCCAGGTTAGTTGATCCCCGTTGAATTTCGAGTAATTTATTTACGGTCAGTGTGAGGAGTATTTAAATATATCTATCGATAGATAACTAAGAGAATTCATATACCTGTATCATAGCTAAAGAAATTCGAATACGTATCTAAAAAATAAATTAAACAAAACAAACACAACTGAATATTCACAGACGATTTTATACATTTTGCGAAGAAATGAAGCAACGAAGAACGACAAAAACTATTTGTTTGAAACAATACCTTGTTTAATCCAAAGTTTGAGAAATACTAACATTTATTTTTGTGCCTGCCTTATCTTATAAATAATCAGCTTTCGTTTATAATGTATAAATTACTGTCGTATTCTTTCCTATCTGTAATTCAAACATGACCCATTCATTCCTTTTAAATATAATTTTATTCTCATCATTTTTTGTGAGTTGTGGTTCTGCTAATCATCTGTTTATTCATGTGTCTCTTTTTAAGTTGGTCGGATAATAAATTAGATATACAGTTCAAGCTAAGTCGTCTTCTCTCTTCTCTTGAAAATCTATCTGGTCAGTGATAGGGTAGGTTCATCTCTCTACCCTTAAGACTGTTTACTCACAAATCGGACTCATAGACTGCAGGTCACAAAGTTGTACTAGGCAACCTATCACGTCATGGTGGGAAACTAGATCAAGACAACCCTCTCTCCCCTTGGATATTAGGAGTAGACTAGTGAGGCACACTTGAGAATTGAAAGTCGGTGAAAATATAATTTATAAGATGGGATAAAAAGGCGAAATCAACTTTTTTATAACTCGATATGCTTCTTGTTCAAAATTATTTTTGTTTTCCTATGCATTGTAACATTTATTTCTCCATGTCTACTCACTGTGGACTTTTGTTCAGTATGTGTTTTCGCAGTAACTCTGTGTATTTTCATTATAAACTACGAGAGCTTAAAATAACACTGGTAGACGGCGACATCAAACAAAAACTTTACCACACATTGGACTTCAAAAAAAGACAAATGATGGTAACAGTAGATTGATCGATAAAAGCATTACGGAATTCTGATGGAATTTAGAAACTGTGAGGAAAAATTAGAATACCTGACACTTCACGACTTGAAGTTTGTGCTGATGATGTCGTTCAGAAAAACAAGGAAGACCTCAATGAAAGCTCAGATTACGAAACTCCACTAAAACCATTGACCTGGGCTACAAATCTCCTCACCAACAACTTATATCATTGAAATCGGTAAAGTAAAATTTCTACGAAATATATTATTTTAAGATATTTTTTGGGGATTTAACAAAAGACATACACATAATTTAATGGTAAATAGCTGGAAAATCAAATATGAGGTAATATTTCCCAAAATATCAATGTGACTAAAAATAAATTCATACCTTTGGCCACCACTTAATTCTCCAAGTGATTCTTTCCAAACATTACCAAACGCAACTTTAATTTCTAATCCATCAAGAACACTCATACCTTCCGGAGGAAATAAACGTGCTTTGCTTCCTGGTAACAGAGTTCCGAAAATATTACAGAATTCCTAAATCGTGAGAAATAACAGATAGAAATGACAAACAGTGAAGTGCAAACGTAAACAAGTGACTCGAAGAAACTCAAAAGAGCATATTTGCGAAATTTACTAACGAATTTATTAAGACATTGAACTATTCTACTCCGTACAGCCAGATTGTGGATTGTAATCCAGAAAAATTCAATCGTATTTGAAGTGAGATAAACACAAATATATTCGAATCTCGACCCAGGGCGTAAAATGCAGTGCGAAGTAAGGTGAGACTATAACTCATGGACGACCTTCGAGCGACACCAGAGTGACCTTGAGAAAAGTCACCTGCTTACTAGGGTCAAAAGAGGGTTATAAATTAGTGTGAAGAATTAGGATTAGGATTTAGAGTTGGAAGTTAAGGTTAGGAATGGAGGTAAAAGTTTTCGTCACGGACTGACATCAGCTATAATGATATTTAATTACATGGGTAAATGGATTTCGCGCCAAAATCCAGGACTTACTACCATTAACTTCATCTGTTCGTTCATAAATTATGATCTCACCGATAGTAACCCTCAAGTTGAGGAATACGATTGCAATAGAGTCCCCTAAACATACTTGTGTACCAAAACCTGATAGAAGGCAAATATACAAGTCCTACATTTACGTCTGTATCAACAACCTTACTTGTTTTCTCTTACCGAGATTCATCTAAGAATCGAACAATACGCAACTATCTCCAGAGGATTTCTGTCCTTCCTTAAAATTTCAAGTTATCAACAGTCAAGATCAGTCCGATGGATTTTGCGTATAACTTTCTTACTATAATTACTAGCTCAGTTCACTTCTCTGACTAACCGTGATTACAATGCTTAAATAATCATGGAGCTAATGCATCAAAGGTATGTCATTTCAAATTAGCCAGAAGCTAATTACAACAAACATCTAACAATTCTTCTATATTGATAATACAAGTAACTTCATAAGTTAAACAATTTACCAGCGTTTAATAGCATGATAAGTGTAAAATAAACCACTGTTTTAATATACCTAAATATAGTAATTGTGGGATTTGTGTAGTATTATTTATGCATAGCCGGTTTCTATCATATAATTTCGTCCTTCCATTTCATTGGTTGGTCATAAATTAACTGATACTTCTATTCATTTGTCTATCAATGCTGACAGCCGATTGTTGTCGAAGTCTTTATCAGTTTGGATGTGAGTCACTTTTAATCTAAGCTAAATATTACTTGATATATGACCAGTTAATTATTTATACATATTTGTATGTCAATATTTCAAGAAGTTAGAACAGTCTTTTTACTTTTATCAAGTTTATGTGGATTATTCCGATCAATCTAAAAATAGTGCGACAATTATTATAAAAGTTTCTACATATGACTTAGTTTACAACAAACTATCAGGTTAAAATAATATTATTCAAATATACTATACATTTATCAAATATAATTTAGTATGCACATTATATTCACAAAATTCAGTCATTCAATCAGCCATAATCAACGTAGAACCTGGTGCATATGTACATCGGTTTAGGTTGTCACACCCCTTCAGCACAATGAAATGAAACTTTCAGGGTAGATCACTGAGTGGTAGAGATGGTAACATTATAAAAAAAGATTAAAACTCGCAGATACAATTCGAGAATAAAATATAAACTAGTGAAATAAGGATTTTTAAAAATTGCGAGGTGATTAGAATATTAAAATCCATGAGACGGGAAAGAGTGAATGAGCCAGGGGTTATTGAAAATAATATTGAACCATGTTATTCAAAGTCTAACCACTGGTTATCACAATCACATGAATCACACTCATATAGTTTCTACCTGCCTACGTGGCTCAGGTTAACAATCCGTATCTTCATGAACTGATACCATTTGTTTATTTGGCCATCCCTACCTTTCTTCTAACTAACTCCGACATCAGCGTTTATCGAGAGCCGAGATAGGCGGTTGTTGGATACACATAATACAAGTCTTATCCATACCAGTCGATAAATATTCAGTATCTCATCATTTAGTTCGCCATCGTTACCTAGTACTGTGCGTCTAACTTCAGAATTGCTAACTCGATTACCCCAACATATACGAGTAATCCACTGAAGATATCTACGATCAAAGGCTATGTTGCACAGCCATAAAGTAGGACGGAGTGAACTCATCTTCTAATCGGAAGATAGACACCTCAACTATGCCACAAGTGGCGTATGTTGGCACAGCCAACAAAGCCTTCGAGATTCATGCCGGAATTCCGTCAAAAACCAACCCATCAAGGCTGATAAGACTCCCAAGATAAGTGAAATGGTCAACACACGTCTAGCATTAGTTCAAGTGAAGATGCAGAGTGGTTTCGAAGAAAAACTTTGTACTTAGGGGAAAAACCTATAAAATTGAATCGCGATAGCATAACATGAAAATTACACTGACCTCATTGACTTTATTATGTGCACTTATTAAGACTTCTTCTTTTCGTTTATCTAAATCATCAATAACTGTTTGAATTTTACGTTTATCAGCTAAAACAATTTCTTGACGTCTAATCAATTCGGAATATTGTTTTTCAGCATTACCAAGCATATTCATTGCACGCATATTTACAGTTCGACTAAGACGATCACGACGCTCTTTCAGTGAATGAATTCGTCGACGTGTTTCAATGGGATCACGTGAAGTAAAACAATATGCGCCATTTTCAACACCAAAATGTTGTTTTTCCTCATGAATCCATGGATTTGCTTCTAAGAGTCGTTCCATCTATTAAAACAAAATAATATTCATTACACAAATTACTTCTTAAAATTAACGTTTGTAATAAAGTGATCCTACAGTGTAACTACGTAAATACTGATATGATATTAGTTATGTCACAGTTCACATGTCAACAACTAAATTGTCCAAATAATGAACAATTTTAGTAATAATTAATATTTTGTAATATTTAATTTTTTCGGATCGGTCAGTCATTATAAACGTAGAGCCTGGCCTGCGTTGGAACAAGTTGCTAATACCATGTCAACGCAACGACATGAAAATAACAATGAACAGCAAAACAGATCGAAATAATGTATTGTTAATAATCACGATAAAAGGCTAATATTGAGAATATAATTCGAAAAGACAATGGAAAGGTATAATATCAAGGAAAACTGGACTTCCAAATCAAAAGCGAAGATAAAGTAAGATTGTATCTGTGATATTGTGGATGATTCTGAGCGATGTCACCCAGTCTTCAACCATTGATGGTGGTTATTGAGTAGACCTACCTAACCAGTTAGAATGAATATACCAAGATGACTTAGATCAGTAGTCAGTGAGAAATACATGAACAGATGTTAATTTTCCAAGTAATATGACTTTGTCAAGCATACGTATCATAGGACGTTGATGGCTTTTCATAAAACTGTTTTTCGAGTAATATCTCCCAAATAAACTTCCTTAAATAATTACAGATATTTTACTTAAAAAAAAATATTTCTGAACATAGATATAATTAAATTTACACACTTGTTAGGAGGAAGATGAGAAAAGCAAGTGTTATATCCTAGTGAAGATTGAGGAGGATATTCGTAGGTTACTAGTATTCGATCATAGGTGTCTTCGAAACATTGCTCATATATATCCTGGGACCACCGAGTAAGTAATGCAATTGTTAGGAAACGGGTACTAGGTAAGGATGGCAAATCAATTGGTGAAGTAGTGAAACTTAATCAGTTGAGGTGGCTGGGACATGTGTTGCACATGCCTGACAACCGACTGCCCCGACAAGAGATGTTTTATGATGTAGGAGTAGGTTGGAAGAAAACTAGGGGCGGCCAGACCAAAACATGGCACAAATCCATGAAGTCACTGACAAGTGGACTGAGCCATGTTGGTAGGTGTATACTACCTGGTTGGGAACCGCGAGATGATAGCAACCGATGGTTAGAGACCTTGAATGACATGGCTCAAAATCGTTTGCAATGGCGCAGGTGCATCCATTCTTTGTGTTCTCCCGAACTCGAATCTTTTGTATTCTTCATGTCCTTTATTTTCTTTCCAAATCTATTCCACTGGATTATACTCCTTGAATAACATCATCAAACCCTAGTGTTCCTTATTACCACTTATACTTTCACTACCTCCACCACTACGGGATTTGAATCGATAACTGCATCTCTGTGCTAATGTGGTATGGCAACTCGAACTGATGTACGTACGTACGAAGTTCCACGTTGTTACTGACTGACTGACTGAAGATTAAATTATGAGTAACTTCCGAGAACTATTAATGGACAAATACTATATATATTGTTATAGTATAACTATTCAGTAACTAGATTATGTATATCTATATTCCCCTTATTATAAGCTTCATTTTGACCTATAGATCATTATTATAAGATTTACTGTTCTAACGTTATGTACAGTTCATTGATTATAGTCTCCAACGTTCACAGCCACATTTTTGCTTCATACTGAATAAATGGTGAGATGTGGTCTGTTTGGCTGGTATATAAACCAAGTATGTTTGAAATAAATGATTCACATAGTGGAAGCTGTTATTGGTGTTCTGGACTCAACGGGACGGGCTAGGCGAGCAAATGACCAACATGACGCTAGACTGCTCATACCGGTCGAACGTCATTGGTTTGGCACAGTACTAAGATTTGATAAGTCGTATTTTGATTGGAGAATAAATTACGCGATAAAAAACGGGTTTAAAGCCACAACAGCAAGCATAAGAGAATTCATGTTAAAATGTTCAGAGAATTACTAATTTTTTAATAATAATAGTCTTAATCATAAGTTTTATTAGTAACGGGTAATGGCGAGTGCTATTTGCTAATTCCAAATTTTTGCTTGATCTCTGGCAAGGTTTGATTGACTACATCTACTTTTCAGTTTGTTAATGTCCTACATGATTCAGGAATATGTTTCATTTTACAATATATACAGAGTTGTGTTATTTCAGGCCATTCTGTTAGAATATAGAATTTTCCCTAGACATTATTTTCATATTTATATTCGTGGTAAACTGTTGAAGTGGTGTATATTAGCTGCTGTTATTGAGTCCGAAACAGAACCGTTCATATTAGTTAGAATAGCTTAATCGTTGTGCATAATTTCCAAGTATACCGCAGATCAACCACAAAAACGATCCCAATATTATAATCGCTTTATAAAGCCATAACATTGTGGCATTTTTTTCAATTTGAGGATATTATTATCATTTAAAAATTTAAACATTGGTACAAAAGGGCACCGAATACATATGTGCCACACAAGTCACGTGATTTGTGCCTGGGTCGGGATACTGGTCCGGGTGCTCAAACCGAAGCAGATGGCTTTTTTAGGGAACCGCACCCGGAGCCTTTGACCTAGATGTCTAAACCACAATGCAGTGGAGCAACGTTAAGAGATGCAGTCCCATAGTAGCCGATGACCAGCAATAGGGCCCATACGCCATTTGATCCTTCAGGATCCTGAAGCCCATGTGCACCATTGGTTTGGAATCACGGTTTTCCAATTTCCATAGATGGATCTTCCATATCAACCGACCCGGTTAAAGTGCCGGATATTCGCTTTTCATTCTCTCAATTTCGTAAACAAGACCTTCGCCGTGAGAAGGCAGTGGATAGGACTTCCCTGACAGAGGCTATATACGCGTGGCCATGTGGGAGCATTTGGAGAGGGAGAGTGGACTCTCCCCACCCTCGTCCGTACCAGAGAATTCGGGGGCAATCTGGTCAACTCATTTGTGTATTTCTTAGGAGGAATTATTTGTTGGTGGTATATAATTAATAATGTATAACTTCTCTTTCCATTATTCACAATGTTTAGATGTATGATGGATAATTAAAAAAATGAGTTAGTATACAGTGAGAATGAAATCAATTTTCGATGTTACTTACATTACAATAACATTTAAACCTAGCAAAATTCACTAATCTTTAATAATTTGAAAAGAATGTTCTTCTTTCGGTAGTACCTTAATATAATTAATGAAAAGAGTTTGAATCAAATTTTCATTTTTAAAATATCAGAAATTATAAAAATCTACTTTGAATTAATTTGAATTGATATTAGAATTCGCTGATAACGACATTCATCTATATCACAATTTACTGATATATAAAATATGATAAAATTGTACAATTCAGTTGTGGCGCATATATATTTGGTGCCTCCCTGTACCAATATTTATGTGTTCAAATAAAATAAAATAAATAGTACAATTCAGTATTGAAAATAGACAAATTATCAGTTGAGAACCGATCACTTGAAGATTTTTAGTACATTTAACAGCATAATCATAGAATAAATGATTAAATGACAATAAATTTATGATCGAATGTTAGTTATTCCGTAAAATAAAAAGATGTATACAAACTCCCATCATGATCACTAAAGCATATAACGAATATGATAGGAAACAAAAACGTATAGTTTATAGCGGATGATTCGAAGATACGTGTTTCATTCTACTTCGGACTCGGTAACCGAATTTACACATGCATCTTGGTGTTGATCTTCACACTGGTCACAACTACAACTTGTAAACTGATGTAGTATTGAAGCGATTCGCTTAGGATGGACATATACGGACAGAAGCTAATCAAATTCCGTCTTAAATATTAATAATAGGAAAACTCAACCCTTTACATGATGCATATATAAAAAATAAGCTCTAAACATGCTTCACTAAAACAAACAATCAATACAACAACTATCGCGTAAAAAAATTACATAGTCTCTAAAACCATTCCAAATACTAAATAAATGAGCTTTGTTGGTATTTAATGATACCCTAACTAAGAGCAGTTAGTAACGTCAACCAGAAAATCCAAAATTCTCCCATACATTCATTAATTCCCTTTGTTCTAGTGAGAAGTTGTAACCAATAGGATTTTAGCCCCACAAATGCCCTGGTATGGCCGAGAGTGGGGAGAGTCAGCTCTCCCTCTCAAAATGCTCTCACATGGACACGCGTATATAGCCTCTGTCAGGGAAGTCCTACTCACTGCCTTTTCACGGCGGGGGTGTTGTTTACGAAAATGAGAGGACGAAAAGCGGATTTCCGGCGCTTTAACCGGATCCCAAACCAATGGTGCACATGGGCTCCAGTATCCTGCAGGAACAAACGGCGTATGAACCAATCGTTGGTCACCGGCTACCATGGGACTGCATCTCCTCACGATGCTCCACTGCCTTGTGGGTCAGACGTTCAGGTCGAAGGCTCGGGTTGTGGCCCCCTAAGAAAACCACCTGCTTCGGTTTGGGCACCCGGGCAGTATCGCAGCCCTCACACATATCAAATGAGATCTATGTGGCGCATATATATTTGGTGCCTCCTTGTACCAACATCTATGTGTTAAAATAAAATAAATAAAAGGCAGCTATCTGGAAAAAAACGAGGGATGATAGTTGCACGATATTACAAACGGATGGCAGTCAAACATGCAAACCACCGAATGACAGCTTAGTTCTTCGGAGTTTGCGCGTAAAATCTAAGGTCTTGGGTTCGATGCATGGTAGTCGAGTGGCACATACGAACTGCCTGATGAGTCTCATGATGAGGTGAAACACATATCAAGCCCTTCCTGACTTTTAATGGTTATTTAAATGACATTGATTCGTGGTGGTAACTATGAAATAAACAATTAAAGTGAAATTAAACATATTCAAGCAGCTACAGAAAGCATTGATAAAAAATTGTAAAAACTCATTTAAAAAATAAAAAGATACTTGTATTGCGTATCACAGAAGAATTAAAATACAAGATGAAAATTAATTACCTTACTATCGGCTTCTTCACTTTCCTTAGTTTGCATTTCAATTTGATGAGAAAGTTTATCCATCTGACTGTTTGTTTGATTCAACGATTGAACTAATTGACCAGCTTCTTTCTCTGCAGATGTCAATGCACGAACAGTTTCATCAATTAATCCTCGTTGTTTATTAACAGCTTCACGTGCTTTAATTAAAGCTTCTTTAGCTAATCGTGATGCATCAATACAACGTTCTTCTTCTGCTTGTGCATCTTCTACAGCTTGAATTGCTTCTTCAAGAGACAGCTTAATAATAAGTATACACAAAAGAAATAAGTATTTAAAGTATATTAATAACATGCTTTATGTTAAAATCGGTTATCACTTTTAAGCAATTCAATATTGTGAGTTGTTTCCTTACTTTTAAAGATCATTATAGTGAAATCTGATATTTTACAGCTGACAAAAATGACAATAAATGTTGGTAAATCATGAATGTTTTGTATAAAGCTACAAAAATCTCTCTTTAAAGCTATCTCAATGTTATGTTAAACATCTTAAAGTTTAAACACATATAAGCAAGTGATTTGATCAAAACTAATAGACATAAGTAGTATGCCCATAAAGCGGTGTAAACTTGTGAACACGTTATGAATGGTATGCTTCTTACAATTATTTATTAAGTATAGTACAACATAATGCACTCAACTCTAAGCCACATTGTTTGTAAGAGGGTTAGTGATGATACTACCTGATTGTATATGCTAAAATAAGCGGAAAATATTTCTAATATATAACCTATTAGTTGACAACTGAGTAGTTTAGCTACCAACCACTGTGTTGTGGTGTCTTAGTGGTTAGAGCGTTCGACCTTAAGAGATTAAGTCTCATGTTCGAGCCCCTCCCCGGTTACTTCGCTTTGGGCAACAAGGTTGTATCATTAACTCTGACTCTAACTCATATCCAACTGCCTGAAGAATTATATATATATATATATATATATATATATATATATATATATATATATATATATATATGTATATATATATATATAATCTGAGAAGGAATATAAGTTAAAATAGACAACATTATCAAACCTTACTTGAAAGTAAACCAAAATAACACGATCTCAATGATACCATAGAAATAACCATTACTACTACTGGTTCATAATGGTGAATGGTATTACAACTGCATTTTAACCGATGAATTCACTTTCGAAACCTTGTAAACTATAACAACGCTTCAGACATTGGACTTAAGAGTTTGAAAATCAGGTCAATAAATGATTGGACAACACAACTACTGTTAAGAAAATCGACTACACTCGAATTGTTACTAAACATAGATGAATAAATAGTTTTTCATCTTATCGAGATATTAAAATAAAAACATGCTAGAAAGATCGTGTTAACATAAACTGTTTACTTTAATAAAGAGTAGAACAATTACAAAATAATAACATAATATGTTATGGCAGGTAATTTACAATGAAGCAATTATACATTATAATAAGTACCACAATCTTGGTTACATGATTCCAACCATAACTTGGCATGATTTTTTTCACAATCACAGTCGACCCTAAAGATGTGAGAGTCAAGACAGAAGGGATGTATTGTAACATTTAGGATTTACTCCGCTGATACAAATTTTGTATATTGAAGATCTTTTTAAGTAAAGATAGATAGTGGCTAGCAGTGAAATCCAGGACACGCGTTTCGTCCTATTTGGGAAGAGTAAAACAACACCAAGTGAATTTAAACTTCACCCAATCGCACAAGCAGGTGGCTATCAGGACTCAGTAGCTACGTGGATAACGTAATGGCGTTTGAAGCGTACGGTACTGGGTCCGAGTTCCGGAGTGAACACCAACTCTGAGATGCAGGTACATCCAGCTGACGAGTCCCAAATAGGACGAAACGCACGTCCTGGATTCCACTGCTAGCCACTACCCATCTTGGCTTAGAAAGCTTGTGACTTAAGGCTATATCGAGGCAATCCACACAGGATGCACATATGCCAACATGAGACTGATCAATTGTAGTCTTAAATAACAATGGGAAGATACAAGTAAAACAACACCAAATGAATTGAAGATCTGTAGAAGGAATATTTTGTATCACAACGAAATCCAAAAACGTGTAAGAGATATTCAAGAATACAAAAATACGTCTTTGTATTAATAAAGTACGACACACAAAGATACTATTAGTATCATGTCAGTCAGTCAGTTAGAGTGGGACCAGGCACATATATGCAATGTTCCAAGCTGCCACACATCATTAGCACAACAAAATGAACACCGAATTCATAGATTCCATATAAGGACATGATACATGGAGAAAGAATTGGTTCGTAGAAAGAAAGGTATACAGTAAATTTAATCTCACGGTTTAAGGGAAGACAAAGAGTGTATACACCTAAGCCATTGTGGTCGATTCTGAGCCATGTCGCCTAGAGTCTCCAACCACTGAGAACGATAGTCGTGCGGACCCCAATCAAGTAGTTTGAATCTATCAACATGGCTCAGACTAAAAGTTGGTGACCTTATGGACAGATGGCACGTTTTAGTTTGGTCGCCCCAAACTTTTTTCCAACTTTCTCCAATACTAGTAACCATTGCATGCCGTGCTAGTCGGTGGTTGGACATGTGTAATATGTGGCGCAAACATTTGAGTCTATGAAGACTCACAACCTCATCAACTGATTTACCATCATTCCCTAATACCCTGCGTCTAACCTCACTATTACTTACCCGGTGAACACAGTAGATACCAGCAATATTTCTAAGACATCTGTGATCAAATACTAGTAACTTACGAGTATCCTCTACTCTTGATGGCGAAACTTCGCAGCCTTAAAGTAGAACAGAACGAACTGCCACACAGTATACTCGTCCCTTATTTGGCAAAAGCCAAACGAGCTTTTCGAATCCGTGCTGAGATTTCGTCAGACACCAACCCATTAGGGCTGATCAGACTTCCAAGATAAGTGAAGTTGTCGACGCGTTCGACTACTTCACCCCCTATCCTTAGTTCAGGTGTTGACGCAGACCAGTCCTGAAGCAACAACTTGCATTTGGAGGGAGAGAAGCGCATCCCAAACATTCTGGCATTGTTACTCAGTGCTATCAAAAGACTGCATTTTATCAGTGTCTTCACCAAACAAGACTGTGTCATCTGAGTATTCTAAGTCAATAAGTGGACCTTCTGGTAGGAAATCTGTTATATTTTCGCTCTTACGGTTATAACCCAGCTATTCCTATCGCTTAGTATTCACGGTCACAGATTCACTCGACAAGGCCCCAAATCAGAACACGATTGAGCAGGAAGGAGATTATATTCCAAATAACAAGGTTAGGTGGAAGCAAGAAGCAAGAAGCAAAATAGGAAAACCGTTAGTATATTTAGTATATTTAAAGCTTCTCCATGTATAGGCTAGCGCTGATTGGATAAGAATCAGCCAATCAGCGTGCGCCAATGCAATCGTGCATTGAGCATGCTTAAATTCAATCTATGTCCCACTAACACCTCCCCTTTGAGCAGATTCGTAGGATCTGGTGCTAGGGTCCAACTGCAACCGAGTGACTGGCCTGTGCTTTCGATTTGTCCATCGTCTAGGCAATAAAGAAGTGTCGCTCTTCGCTTGCACAGAAACTGACCTGTCTGTTCCAGGCGTTTTGATTTCAAAGGTGTCTAGCAGAACATCAAGAGGTAATCGATATTGAATCTCGTTGCTGGCTATCGAAGTTGCTTTCAATTGTTTAGCATGACGTACCCAAACTTCTGAGCCAACTGACACCTCATAAACCACACTCCCCTTCTTTTTCGAGATCCGACCAGCTGTCCATGTAGGATGTTTCTCACGATAGTCCATAGCAAGTACTTTTTGTCCCACTGTGAACAATCGTTTTTGTGCCCCATGATGTTGATTGAACTGATTCTCCATAGATAGGTTTCGTTGAGGCTCAAGAGCTGGCGTAGGACGGATGACATCGAAATGTGTTCGTATTTTTCTGCCAAGTAGAGCTTCTGCTGGAGAGCCCCCTTAATCGTCTGAGGGTTCGGTGTAGAGCGATAAATAAGCAGGAACCTCTCTAAGATCTCTTCGGTGGTCCCCTCCCCTTTAGATTTTTTTAGAGCATTTTTAAATGTACTCACAAAGCGTTCCACTTGACCATTTGATTGGGGATGGAATGGAGGTGTTCGGACGTGATGGATTCCGTTCTGCCGACAAAATTGTGGGAAAATTACGGACGTAAACTGTGTTCCGTTGTCACTAACTATCAATTCCGGGACTCCGAAACGACTGAATAGTTGACGTAGCTTACTGACTGTGCAGCTTGCAGTCGGGTGTTTCATGAGAAAGATTTCTGGCCACTTGCTATATGCATCAACTACCAAAAGGTAAGTTTGTCCATGAAGTGGACCAGCAAAGTCCAAGTGTATACGCTGCCACGGTGACTGTGGTATTGACCATGATTGCAGCTCTGCTTTTCGCGGTGCTTTCGTTGCTAATGCACATTTGGTACATGAACGGGATAGCTGCTCCAGTTGAGTGTCTAAATGCGGCCAGTATACATAACTTCGTGCTAATGCTTTCATGCGATTTATTCCAGGATGTCCTGCGTGCAACTGTTCAAGCACTGCTGGTTGTAGCTTCTTTGGGATTATGACACGTTCGGCAAACAGCAGGCAGTCGTCGATGATTGAGAGAGAGAGTCTACGCTGGTAAAACTGTTGAAGCTCTGTGGAACTGATCTTCGCGGGCCATCCTTCCAGGTGGAACTTTCTAACTTCTTGTAGAATCGGGTCTCGAAGAGTTTCTTCTCTGACTTCATCTGACGACACTGGAGTGTTTCGAATGGCATCTGCCACTATACTTCGTATTTCTGGGTCTACTGCTATGGAGGCAATGGTTATATCCTCTGGTCCAGGATACTGAACTCCAATTAATCGAGAGAGAGCGTCGGCTTGACCGATAGTATTTGTCGACTGATACTTGATATTGAAATCATAACTCAGGAGCATTGTTGCCCAGCGCTGTAGTCTATTAGCCGTATAGACAGAGATTCCTTTCTTAGAACCAAAGATTGCAATCAAAGGTTTGTGATCTGTCAGTAGAGTAAATGTACGACCATCGAGCATTTTATGAAATCTTTTGACAGCGAAAATGATCGCAAGAGCTTCCTTTTCAATTTGACTGTAGTTCTGCTCGGCTGGGGTAAGTGATCTAGCAGCATGGGCAATTGTCTTTTCTGATTTGTCCGAAAACACGTGAGATATCACTGCTCCAACTCCATGACTAGATGCATCAGATGCAACAACAATTTCCAAGCTGGGATCGAAGTGTGTCAAAAGAATCTTTGAGCTGAGCATTGATTTGACTCTGTCGAAAGATGCTTGGCATTCTGCTGACCACTGCCAAGGTTTATCTTTTGATAGTAATTCATTCAGGGGACCTCTCACTCGATGCATTTCAGGCAAGAATGTGCTATAATGACTGATTAACCCCAAGAAGGATCTTAATGAAGAGACATCAGTTGGTGCAGGCATCTTCTGAATGGCTTCGATGTTGGCAGGGTCTGGTCGGCGACCGTTCTTATCTAAGATAAAACCAAGGTATTTGATGGAATGCATAAAGAAAGTACACTTTTCCTCACGTAGTTGGAAACCATATTCCAACACTCGGTTAAGGACTTGATGTAGTCGATCAGAAAGTTCATTGTCAGTTGAACCCATAACTATGATATCATCTAGATAAGCTGCTGTACCGGGTATACCTGTTAGCATCGTATCCATTATTTGCTGAAAGATGGCAGGTGCAGTCTTGATGCCAAATGGTAGACGGGTGTATTGAAATAACCCTCGATGAGTGTTAATGGTCAAAAGCTCTCTACTGTCTTCATCTACTTCTACTTGCAGATAGGCATCGGAAAAGTCTATTTTCGCGAAACATGTCCCACCATTAAGTTTGGCAAACAGGTCTTCAGGAACTGGTAACGGATATTGATACACATCTAATGCAGCATTTAAACCGGTCGAGAAATCGGCACATATGCGTATAGTTCCATTCGCCTTCTTAATCACTACGATCGGTGCGGCCCATGCAGAGTAGTTGACTGGTTGGATTACACCAGCCTGTTGCAGGCGATTAAGTTCCTGATCGACTAACTCAAGAGCAGCATATGGTACAGGACGTCTAGGACGAAAAATAGGTTTGGCATCTGGTTTCAGTGGTAAATGAGCTTTCATCTTGGTACAGTGGCCAAGGCTATTCGGAAAAACAGAGGCAAACTTTCTTTTCAGTTTTTCTAGTAACCTTTCACCTGTCTTCTTTGCAAGTACTGGGGTGTCTAATGATGAACACAATACGTTGCAGACACTGTTTATCGGTACATCCATTATTCCAAGTTTATCTAACATATCTAGACCAAGAAGATCAAGGTTTGGCCGTTCTGTTAGGTAACATATTCCTGTACAGTTAGTTCCATTGAAGGAAAATTCACACTGTAATTCACCAATCAGTTTTAGCACACCACCTGATGCGTTTTTGGCCGTTTTCTTAGATGGCTTCATTGGCGGTTTACCCAGCAAGTTATACGTTTCTCTAGATACTAAGGTGATATCTGATGCCGTGTCAATTTGAAGACGAGCTGATATGCCGTTTATCTGGATGGTAACATACTTTCTCCGAATGTCATAGTTTGTTTGAAAGGCAGCTACCAAAGAAAGAGATTTAAACTCGGCTGATTTCACATGTCGAGAACGTTTATGCTTCTTTTTGGGATGAGACGTACGATTCGGTGGACAATGACCTTCTTTATGTCCACGTTTGCTGCACACCTGACATATATGCTTTTTAAATGGACAGAATCGTACATAATGCCAATCACCACATAACCAGCATGCAGTCGTTGGTTTATTACGAGTTGTTATCGGCTTCTTAACTTTTAACCTAGTAATAGCATTGACACTACTGCAGGTTAAATTAGGATTTACCTGTTCAATCAACTTGTTGTCGTATCTGATGCTTTGTAGCCGCTTACACTCATCTGTCAACGTTTTGAGTGTGACGTTTGGGTCTTGATCCAGTCGAGCCAAAAGTCTAGTCCTGATCTCAGCATCTTGTGGTGACTGAAGAGCTTTGATGAATATTAGGTATTTAAATTGGTCTTCTGTCAACGAGCGTAACTTGAACCGTTCACATTCTCTGTTGACGATGTCTGCTAAAACACCATATTCATCGCCTTCGCGTTTCACCAAATTTAGACACGTGTCGAATACTAAACAATGAGGAGGATTCACCGAATATCTCTGACAATTGAATTATCGTCTCCTCGAAACTGAGCTCTCGAGGTAACTTTGGCAATATATGGTCAGCATAGCGTGCATGTTCATTAATTCCCAACTTACGTACCAACAATAGAGTCTTCCACGCGTCGTCTTGGTTACAGAATTCTATTCTAAATGTATCTTCCCAACGTTTGAACCACGTGAGAAAAGTATTTCCGCTTTCGGGATCATAGATGAATTCTGGTATGCTGCTAGCAACTGCATCACAAGACGTACTTGAAATGGCATGTGAACTCGAGCAGTGGAAGCTAAGCTGTTGAGTCAGAGTCTCTAACAACCGCATTTGTGCATCTAATTGTTGTTGCTGTTGTTGTAGTATTCGGTTAAGCTGGTCATCTGATATGGACATATTGAATTTATTTTCCTTTTTCCCCGTCGCCACTGTTATATTTTCGCTCTTACGGTTATAACCCAGCTATTCCTATCGCTTAGTATTCACGGTCACAGATTCACTCGACAAGGCCCCAAATCAGAACACGATTGAGCAGGAAGGAGATTATATTCCAAATAACAAGGTTAGGTGGAAGCAAGAAGCAAGAAGCAAAATAGGAAAACCGTTAGTATATTTATAGCTTTTTACATAAGAAGAATCTAGGAGCTTCTCCATGTATAGGCTAGCGCTGATTGGATAAGAATCAGCCAATCAGCGTGCGCCAATGCAATCGTGCATTGAGCATGCTTAAATCCAATCTATGTCCCACTAACAAAATCAATGCCCGAAGATTCAAATGATGAGAACGTTATTTCCACTAGTAGGTCTATAGTGAAACTAAACAAAATTGAAAAGTGTTCATCCTTGTCAGATATCACTTGAGGTTGCAAACCCAGATGACAATTCGCCATGAGCTCTGACTTGACTGGTAGTGTTCGAGTTAAGAGCCCTCACATAGTTTATGAAATTCTGAGGTACACCTTTCAATGACAGACACTGCCACATAACGCCTCGGTTAACAAAGTTAAATATAATGATTAGTTCATTTTGTATTATTTATTTGAATCTTTTCATAGATTTAAGGATTGCAATTGACTAGTCTCTTACTGGCATATGTGCATCCTGTATGGATTGCCTCGATATTACCTTAAGTCACAAGCATTATAACCAAGGATGGATGATGCCTAGCAGTGGAAATTAAGACGCGCGTTCAGTCGTATTTAGGACTCGTCAGGTGGATGTACCTGCACCCTACAGTCGATGTCTACTTCGGGAATTAAACCCAGTACCGTTCGCTTCAAACGCCATCGCGATATCCATCAATACGAAAATGAATTAAACTTCATCCCATTGAACAAGCTAGTGGTTATCTGAACTTAGTAGGTAAGTGGGTAACGCGATAGCGTTTGAATCGACAGTAATCGATTTGAGCCCCGAAGTAGACATCAATTCTATGGTGCAGGTACATCCAGCTGACGAGTCCCAAATACGACGGAACGCGCGTCTCAAATTCCGCTGCTAGCCACCATCCATCTTTACTTATAATGACTAGTATTATGTTTATTGGCATGATGCAGATTCCCAAATATAGATTTGTGCACTTGGCTTTGAATCAAACCCTACGTGGTGGCTATGGAAATACTCAGGTCACCAAATTGAAATAGATGGAATAGAACACGAATCTACGATATAGTGGTTGAATGTCTACAAGATATATCATAACGTCGCTTACATAAGTCAAGAAAACCTGATGTATGTGATTATTTAATCGAGAAAAAAGTTACCTTCAAAGTATTCAGTTCTTTTGCAAGTTCTTCAGCTTCTAAGCGTAAAGTTTCTTTTAGAGAATTTTTCTCCCTTAAAGCACAAACCGTGGATTCCAGTTGAACTTTAGCTTCTGAAAGTGCCTTTTCAGCTTCCTGTCGTTCTTTTTTACGTTCAGCTACGGCATTTTCTGCTTTCTCATGAGCTAACTTAGCTCTTAAAGACGCTTTAGTAAGACGCTGTTCAGCGTTTTTTCAAGGAATCTTCGACTTGTTCTACACAAAAAGAATGGATTTATGTAAGTCAAAAAGTGCACATCTATTAAATTAATTCTTCTAGAAATAAACGCTGCCTAATGGACTTCAACAATAGAATGGAGAAAATTCATAAAAACGAACATGATTCCAGTGATGGTGTCTTTCAAAACAAAGAAGGAGGGAATCACGATAAATCCCATCCAGTATTATACACCCACCAATGATAGCAACAACGACAATAAGGATAAGTTCTATGAGAGGCTGCAATCAATCATAGCGGAGTGCCCAAGAAAGGATCTCACCATCGTGATGGGAGACCTAAACGCCACAGTCGTAATGAACAACACAGGATATGAAGATATCATGAGATGACGTGAACTAGGAGAAAGGAACGAGAATGGTGAGAGATTTGCAAATCTATGGGCAGCACAATATTCCCACACAAACGCATACACAATGCTACGTGGGTCTCACCGGATCACACCACGGAGAACCGAATAGATCATATTTGTATCAATAAAGAATTCAGAAAGACAATGGAACACGTGAGAATCAGGAGAGGAGCTGACTTTGCTTCAGATCACCACCTGGTTGTCGTCAGGATGAAACTGAAGCCAAATAAACACTGGACTGCTGGGGAAGCAGCAGTACAAAGGTTCAATACAGCCTTCCTTCGAGATACTAACAAATTCAACCAATTCAAGATAACTCTCAACAACATGTTCCAAGCGTTACAGGATCTACTGAAAGGATAAACTAGCATGGGGGACAACTGGAAAGGTATTAAAGAAGCACTGACTTCAAAGTGTCAGGAGGTGCTGGGCCGCAACAAGCCTCGTCATAAGGAATGGATCTATATCGAAACCCTGGATTTAAAGAAACTCTTGAACAGGCCAGCTCCACTGAACTCAATGGACATCGAAGCAGCACACAGACATGCCTATAGATGTCACTCCATCAACGATCGAAGAAACCAAGATGGCCATTAGACAAATGAAGAGTGGGAAAGCAGTACGACCTGACAATAAACCAGCCGAAGCTCTGAAGTCTGATATGGAAGTAACTGCAAACATGCTCCATGTTTTATTCGGGAAGATTTGGGAGGAAGGACAAGTGCCAAAGACACACTGGAATGTAGGACACCTTCATCAAGTTACCAAAGAAAGGAGATCTGAGCAAATGTGTGAACTACAGACACATCACACTACTGTCAGTACCGGGAATGGCATTCAACGGAGTGATGGTGGACCGGATGAAGGATTCAGTAGACACCCAACTTCGAGATCAACAGACCGGATTCCGTAAGGATCGATCGTGCACAGACCAAATCGCGACACTACGGATCATCGTCGAACAATCAGTTGAGTGGAACTCGTCACTGTATTCCAACTTCATTGACTATAAGAAGACGTTTGACAGTGTAGACAGGAGGACCTTATGGAACCTTCTTTGATATTATGGTGTACCTGAGACGATCGTCAACATCATCCGGAATTCATACGACGGACTACAGTGCAACGTGGTGCATGGAGGACAGCTGACAGACTCTCCGCCTTTCTCTTTCTTCTGGTGATTGACCAGATTATGAAGACCTCGACTGTACGGAGCTGAAACGCGGAGAACTACTATAACCATCATCAAAAGTTACAGGTACTTATAAACAGTTTTCTACGAAAGATACTCAACATCGATAGGCCGGATTCGATCAGCAACAGCCTACTGTAGGATAGAACAAATCAACTTCTAGTTGGGAAGGAAAGACGTTGAAGTTGGATAGGACACATATTGAGGAAATCATCAAACTGCATCACGAGGCAAGCGCTAACTTGGAATTTTGAAAGTAAACGGAAATGTGGGAGGTCAAAAAACACGGTGCGTCGGGAATCGGAAATAGACATTAAAAGGATGAGTAGTGACTGGAAAGAACTGGAAAGTATTGAGCAGGACAGAGTTGGATGGGAAATGCTGGTGAGCGGCCTATGCTCCTCCATGGGGGTAACCGGCCTATGTATGAACATCGAAGTAACCATCCAACTATCTAGTAACTGAACTTTCTGTAAGATATGACATTGAATAACCCCATACTAAAACGAGAAAAACTACGTATAGTGCACAGTATAAAATAATATAAATTGAAGAAAAACAGATGTGGTATTACATAATGAAACAACCAACATGCTCTTATATCTCATATCCTAATTTATAAACGAAATAAAAAATTTCCTTGAAGAAAACATGTATCAGATGTCAGTAGTATTTAGATTACCACTGAAACGATGAAAACTCACTTAATTCCTCTTTGGTAGCTGCCAAGTCTGCACGTAATCGATGTTTATCTGTTTGTCTTATTTGAGTCTCTAAAAGTCCTAATCGATGGCGAGCATTATCCAACGCTTCTCGAAGATGACTAATATTTTGGGATCGTAATTGAGCTGCTCTGACATTTGCTTCGCCTTGAGCAACATTTTCTTCAGCTTTTTGAGAGGCGACCTCAAGATCACGCCACTTAAATATACGAGATAATAAACTATCCGAAGCAGTTCCCCGACTTCCACCGGACAATGTGCCCTAAAATATGACAAGAAAGAGTATTAGCAAAAAGTATTTTTAAATAATTCAGCTGATGAATATGTAATAAATAAATTCTTCAGATGAATATACTGAATTTAACGTACAGGATTGTAAAGAGCTGATAATGATGAGTAAACTTCAGTGAAAACCTACATCATCCCCTTAAACATATAATAAAATATGTAGCATATCACAAATAAAATCGGTATACCAAAAGGTGAAAATAATCAATTTTCGTTTCTACAAAACGCTACAATATGTCACCTACAGCCTATCACACTTACTTCCTTATCAACCATATCGGCTGTAAGGCAGTTATCCACCCAAAGCATTGAAAGCTGGTTGAATAATATCGCCAACTGAATGAAAGTAGAAGTATAAACCATTGAGTGACGGCTCAGTAGTCTACAGCTTAAGTACTCATCGCAAAACCTGAAAGTTCAGGTTTCAATCCCCGGTGAATTCGTGGATGCACGCTGCTGAAATGTTCTACATTAGAATGGAATAGTTCTTCATAGCTTCCTAGTTCTCAGTAATTGCCCAAGTAAGGTCAGTTTCCGATGTCGATTGTAAAATAACATGAAATAAAACCTCCGCATCTTGGAAAATATAGTTAATTCATTGACAACAATTTAATAGACAGAAACACATCTAACGCAACAGATTTGATGGTCAAGTCAACAGTTTGAAATCTACAAACCAAAAACTAATAGAGGCTCCTACAGGATAGATCAAACGTGTTAAGAACGATGAATTTGTTATCATTACTATCTTCTGCATAATACTAATTTTTCACGTACAGATTAATACATTTGATTTCAAGACATACCTTAAGCAGGGGAGCTAATGATCCTATCAGTCCACTCAAACGAAACTAGATAGAGTGGAGTTCGAATAGACAACTTATTGGCCAGAAGTCAAACACCCTAACTATTATCCCACCCCTTCACACTATGAACAAGTTCACATGTAAAGAAGTAATGATTAAAATTACTTTTTTCTAAAAGAAAAACAAAGATGATTACCTGAGGATCAAATACATCACCTTCTAATGTTACTGTTTTCTTTTCGATACCAGGGTGAAATGCAATACGTTTAGCTATTTCCATATCTGGACAAATTAATACACTACCAAATACATATTCCATAACTGGTTTAAGCATATTATCATATTCAATTAATGAAAGAGCAGTGACAACATTTGATGCACCAACTAATGACTGGGCATTTTTAATAACACCATCTGATATGGGATTTCCACGTATTTTAGTTAACGGAAGCATAGTGACACGTCGACGAATTTGACCACGTTCTAATAAAATTTTACCAGTGACTTCTGTGTCTACAACAATGTTCTGTAACTAAAATCAGAGAATATTAAATAAAGTAATTAAAAGGACATAAATTTAACATGATAATCACAGTAGAAAACAGAAAATGTCTAACAGAAGTCAGTAACTATATATAAGTTTTTCTATTAGTTTATGTAAGAAACATATCTAAACTTCAGTACTTAATAAGATTATAAGCTTGTTTTATTAATATATATTGTGTCGATATGTGATTTAACAGTAGACAAAGAAATAGAAAAAGATATTATATTTCCTAATAACAAGAAAGATTGATTAAATCAAGTTATTCCGACATTTATCATATTATCATCTATATATTTGTAGATAAAAACAAATGGTCTCTGTAATCAGGGACATTGATGGAAAGTAGTGTTATTATTATTTGTACACATAGCTATTGGTACAAGAGGGCACTAAATATATATGCGCCACACAAAACAGTGAGAATTTAAAGAGAAGGGGAAAAAAGAAAGAAGGGTATGGAGCGTTAAAAAAGAACAATAACGAACAGATTATTGTAAGTTAGTGTAATAGTAATAATAATGGGGGGAACGAAACGGTACAATCAGAAGAAATCTTTCAGTTAAGGAAGAAGCAATCACTTTTTACGAAGAAAGTAAAAGAAGGTTACAACAGGATCGCCACTGGCTTCTATTCTGAGCCATATCTGATAACGTCTCTAGCCACTATGTTACACCATCTCTCGGACCCCAGCCGGGGAGTCGTGAAGGACCAACAGAAGCTAGCCCTTTGCAGCTTTCTTTCATACCACGACACCATGTCATATACTGACCACCTCTCCGCTTTTTCCAACCAGTCCCAGAGTCGGCAAATAATGTACGACATGGAATTATCTGGGACAATATTCGTAGAACATGTCCAAGCGATCGAAGTCGATGTCTCAGGATGATAACACCAATTGTATTATCGTCTCTGCGCCCAAATACACGATGCCGAACCTCTGCATTACTAACATGGTGTTGCCACTGGATGTCAGCAATCCTTCGGAGACAGCGATGATCGAACACAGAGAGTCGTCTAACGACCTCAGCTCGGAGAGGCCAGGTTTCACAATCATAGAGCAGAACCGCTCTCACCGACGCGTTGTAGATCCGACCTTTTACAGCCAGACTGACATCACGAAGGCGCCAAAGATGACCCAGATTGGCATAAACCGCTCTGGCTTTCACTATACGTGCATTGATCTCATCACTCACGCCACCACCAGCACTTATGCAGCTACCTAGATACACGAACTTCTCGACTACTTCTATCTGCTCACCATCCAGAGTGAGTACATGATTAGAATCCTGCCAGTCTTGTAGAAGTACTTTGCACTTCGAAGGTGCGAGGCACATACCATACCTACGGACATTGATTGCCAACTGATTAAGTGCGGAGTGCATGGCTTGGGCATTCTCGCACAGTAAGACAATATCATCCCCATACTCAAGGTCGAGAAGTCTTTCTCCAGGTAACAGATCCACACCGCCACTACTTACATCTATTAAAGCTGTTTCCAGAATGTCATCGATGGCATAGTTGAAGAGGAATGGTGAGATTGGGCAACCCTGCCTAACTCCACTGCCTGAATGGAATAATGGAGAGAGGTGGTTGTATGCCCTCACTCTGCCTGCGGTGTTTGTATATAGGGCTTTTAGGATGTTAATAAACGTCTCAGGCACACCCTTCTTCACTAGACAATCCCAGAGAACAGTCCTATCCAACGAATCGAAGGCGGCCCTAATGTCAAGAAACACTGAGATTGTTGGCCTTTGGTAAGTATGACGGTGTTCTAACATTTGGCGGAGGGTGAAGATATGATCAATACATCCTCGACCAGAACGAAACCCAGCCTGCTCCTCGCGAGTCAATCTTTCTCGGGTTTTGAACAACCTACGAAGTATGACGGAAGCCAATAGCTTGGACGCAATCGGAAGTAGACTTATCCCCCGATAGTTGTTACAGGAACGACGTGAACCCTTTTTAAAGATAAGGACAACTATCGACTCATTCCATGACGTTGGTACACTCTCTAGTTCCCAGACCTTTGTAAACAACGTCGTCAGTCCCTTAGTCAGAAAGTCACCACTATCTTTAAAAAGAGCCGGAGGTAAGTCATCTGGGCCCGGTGATTTGTAACGTTTCAAGAGTTGGAGTTCCTTGCGGACTTCCGCCTCACTTGGTGGATCAGTCGTCACCGGCCATGGAGGGCAGGACAGTCTGACCGATGTTGCCGGAGCAGCAGGCCAGTTGAACTGCCCTTCGAAAAATTCTGCCCATCGTCCAAGACGTCGATAGATGTTAGTGATTGGCGTTCCGTCATCCTCGCAGATTGTTTTGCTCACATCATACATTTTGCTGCCCGTGGCTCGGATGGGTTGGAAGAGCTTCCGGTAATTACCAGATGCATCTGCTGCTTCCAGCTCATTAGCACGCTCCGACCTCCAGGCTTCACGGTCCTCACGCAAGCTTTGCCCGATTTCATTACGTAACATCCTTCGTCTGTGGTCAAACTCACGGTCATCCGGAGTAGACCGACGGGCTTCAATGAGTTGTAAGAAACCAGAAGAAACCCAGTGCTTGTAAGCGGGACGTTTCGCGAACCCACAACAGTCTTGCGATTGCAACCAATGCTCATCTATACTTTTCGGTGGAATGGTAGCTAGCCTAGAAACTAGCTCGGTTCGGTACTTACTAGCAACAGAAGTTGCAACCAGCTTGCTAACATCAATCCTTTGGTGGCGGTCACTTCGTTGTCCACTGAAAAGTAAGGTAAGATTGGCGCGGACCAGAGCATGATCAGATTCCAGATAGGTACTCCAAAAGGAGCGGCAGTCTTGTACACAACCACGCCAGCGGTAGCTGATCGCGATGTGATCAATCTGAGTCCAGGCTTGAGATGCAGAAGCGGGACGCCAAGTGGCACATCGGCGATGACTGTGCCGAAAGTTAGTGCTAGCCAGAAACAGGTTGTGGTCTGTGCACAGTTGCAGTAGACGTTCCCCGTTATCTGACCTGCGACCAACAAGTCCCCATCGGCCACCTAAACGACTCTCTTCTGTGCCTGGACGCATGACCTGAGCATTCAAGTCTCTGGCTAGTACTACAATATCTGTCGAACGCACTTTCTGGAGAAGAACAGTTAACTGGTGGTAGAACTCATCCTTGATTGCATCCGGGCTGCAATCTGTCGGGGCAAAGGTGGAGATGACGAAAAGACATCGTTTCTCACGCCGATTTCTTCTCACGTTGATGGTACTTTCTAATCTAACAGCACATAACCGACTATTAATGGGGATCCAATCGATTAGTGCTGCCTCAGCTCTTGCGCTTAGTAATAATGTGAATTGTTTGATAGTAAATCGCGGTGAGAATAGAGTTTTCAGAGAATATCATCATTTTCATTATATTTGTGCATGGGCTGCGATACTGCCCGGGTGCCCAAACCGAAGCAGGTGGTTTTCTTAGGGGGCCACAACCCGAGCCTTCGACCTGAAGATCTAACCCACAAGGCAGTGGAGCATCGTGAGGAGATGCAGTCCCATGGTAGCCGGTGACCAACGATTGGTTCATACGCCGTTTGTTCCTGCAGGATACTGGAGCCCATGTGCACCATTGGTTTGGGATCCGGTTAAAGCGCCGGAAATCCGCTTTTCGTCCTCTCATTTTCGTAAACAACACCCCCGCCGTGAAAAGGCAGTGAGTAGGACTTCCCTGACAGAGGCTATATACGCGTGTCCATGTGAGAGCATTTTGAGAGGGAGAGCTGACTCTCCCCACTCTCGGCCATACCAGGGCATTTGGGGGCTGGAAAGTGGTCCGACATCAAGTGAAATCATGATTGTCATTTACATTCACTTCCTTTATGTAGCCAATGAATTCAAAGGTTATCTGTGAGGAATACAGGAAATACACTTCCTTATGGGCTCCATGAGGTCTGCTAGCCAAACGTCTGACGAGATAACGGGATCCAGACATATTAAGGATAGATATGAGACGCAATCCAAGTTTACGTACTTTGAACAAACGATATAACCGTAAGTTCGTAGACCCTGTTAATATAATACGCTTGTAAATGTCTTTGTTAGTCACATAATTCTTTTTCATTCTATTAGGAACTTTAGTTGTTTTCTGACCATTTCATTCTTATTCTGTTCGTTGATATCTTTAGAAGACTTCGTGCTATTTGAAAGCACACTAATTATCTTTTTGACGTAAATTGTGCAGTCCATCGGAAATACCCTTGTACTTTTGTTCGAACGTGTTATTGAGAGGTCTTGATTGTTTCTGAGTAGTTTGAGTTTTTTATGGTATTTTGTTAGAAGGTTTCTAAATGTTAACTTAGTGTTTAAATATTGATTGTAGCTTTCAAGGGTAGATTGAAAGTAATGAACTTCTTGGTGGGATACTACGTTAAGAATGTTATTCTATTTGATAAGGTTGTCAAATTAAAAATGTGTGTGAATTGTGTGACTTATGTCGCAGAATTTTATTTCCGTATATAGAACCTCAAGCAGCCCCCAAATGCCCTGGTATGGCTGGGAGTGGGGAGAGTCAGCTCTCCCTCTCAAATTGCTCTCACATGGACACGCGTATATAGCCTCTGTCAGGGAAGTCCTACTCACTGCCTTTTCACGGCGGGGGTGTTGTTTACGAAAATGAGAGGACGAAAAGCGGATTTCCGGCGCTTTAACCGGATCCCAAACCAATGGTGCACATGGGCTCCAGTATCCTGCAGGAACAAACGGCGTATGAACCAATCGTTGGTCACCGGCTACCATGGGACTGCATCTCCTCACGATGCTCCACTGCCTTGTGGGTTAGATCTTCAGGTCGAAGGCTCGGGTTGTGGCCCCCTAAGAAAACCACCTGTTTCGGTTTGGGCACCCGGGCAGTATCACAGCCCTCACACATGTCAAATGAGATTCGTGTGGCGCATATGTATTTGGTACCTCCTTGTACCAATACTTGTGTGTTAAAATAAATAAATAAATAACCTCCAGCAACAGAATTGATGAGAACATCGGAAAATGATTGAATAAGAATCTCCCATGATTATTTGAGGATTTATGTTGTTTCTGTAGCTGTCAAACTCTCATCGAGATTCGAAGTTAAGGTTCGTGTACGTTTATCAGTAACCGTAACAACATATCTTAGACCGTTATGGCTACCTTGATGTAGTGGTCGGGCTTGCCTATCTTGATGAACGAATCGGGGTATACTGGGCGAAACAATTGTTCCTCAAGGTCCTACTATGCAAGGCAGGTCAGTCAGTCAGTCAGCTGCAACGTAGGACCAGGCACGTATATGCATCGGTCCAAGTTGCCATACCGCATTAGCACAACAAGATGAACACCGGATTCATAGAAGTAGTTAATTCAGTGGTGGTAATATATAGAAGAAAGATTATGTATAAAGAGATAGTACAGGAAGAAAGACTTAGTTGGTAGAAAGAAAGATTTGAAGTAATTTCAATCTCTTAGTTTAAAGAAAGACAAAGAGTGTATACACCGACGCCATTGTAATCGATTCTGAGCCATGTCACCAAGAGTCTCCAACCATTGGTTACGAAAGTCACGCGGACCCCAACCAGGTAGTCTGCATCTACCAACATGGCTAAGACTAGAAGTTAGTGACTTCAAGCACTAATGCCACGTTTTGGTTTGACCGCCCCTAACTTTCTTCCAACCATCCCTAATACCGGTTAGCATTGCGCGCCGTGGTAATCGGTGTTCAGGCATACGCAGCACGTGGCCTAACCATCTCAGTCGATGAAGGTTCATAACCTCGTCAACTGATTTACCATCATTCCCTAATACCCTGCGTCTAACCTCACTATTACTTACCCGGTGATCCCAGCAGATACCCGCAATATTTCTAAGGCATCTGTGGTCAAATACTAGTAACTTACGAATATCTTCTATTCTTAAAGGCCAAGTTTCGCAGCCGTATAGTAGAACGGAACGAACTGACGCGCAGTATACTCGTCCCTTAATTGATAGACGGATATCTCTCCTTCGCCATAGATGACGTAAGTTGGTAAAAATCAAACGAGCTTTTCGAATCCGTGCTGAGATTTCGTCAGACACCAACTCATAAGGGCTGATCAGACTTCCAAGAGAAGTGAAGTTGTCGACGCGTTCGACTACTTCACCCCCTATCCTTAGTTCAGGTGTTGACGCAGACCAGTCCTGAAGCAACAACTTGCATTTGGAGGGAGAGAAGCGCATCCCAAACATTCTGGCATTGTTGCTCAATGCTACCAAAAGACTCTGCATTTCATCAGCGTCTTCACCAAACAGGACTATGTCGTCTGCGTATTCTAATTCAATAAGTGGACCTCCTGGTAGGAGATCAATACCTGAGAATTCAGTCGATGAGAGCGTTATTTCCATCAGTATATCTATGGTGAAGTTAAACAAAATTGGAGAAAGTGGACAGCCTTGACGGACGCCACTTGAGGTTGCGAAAGCAGATGACAGTTCGCCATAAGCTCTCACTCGACTAGTAGTGTTCGAGTAAAGAGCCTTCACAAGGTTTATGTATTTCTGAGGTACGCCTTTCAATGACAGACACTGCCACAGAACCTCTCGGTCAACAGAGTCAAACGCTGCTTTTAAGTCAAGAAAGACCACCATTTTCGGACGTCGATAAGTATGTCTGTGTTCTAGAACCTGACGAATGGTGAATATGTGATCGATGCAGCCACGACCAGGTCTGAAGCCAGCCTGATTTTCACGTGTTTGTAGTTCACGAGTCTTAATTAGGCGTCCGAAAATTATCGAGGCTAGTATTTTAGATACTATATTCGTCAAACTAATCCTTATCCCATGGATATCCGTCTCCGGCGGTAAGGTCTCAACAAGTACGGAGCTAACACAAAAATTACTCATAAAAAGGTCGTGTGTGACCGACCTCAAGCAGCTGTCCCTTGGGCACTGCGGTCACGCTCTCAGGTCACTATGACCACCTCTAATCCAATTTCCTTTTCAGGTACCTCCAGCAGAACCCTTCCACGGTGTGGGCAACCGGGAAGTGATAACCGCCCTCATACCTCTAACAGCACTCAAGACCACTGTATTCATAATCAACAAGGCAGGTCAGTTGAAGAGTGGTAGAACTAAAAGCAGCAAACTCAAGATCCGAAGGCAAAGCCAAACTGCCGACTGTACAAAGGTGTGACGGTAGTAGGGATATGAGTATTGTTTGGCCGGACAGAATCTTTAACAACCTATAAAGTTAATATCAATTATTTTATCCTCATTTATCTCCTCTTCATCTTTAAATTTTTTACCATTGTTAGTATTATGATTCTTATCCGATTGCTCCAATTTCCATTGAATCACCGTAACTGATCTGACATGTGGTTATCAGAATTTATAAAAAACGGTACTAGTTATTACTGTTATTTTTAAATCAAACTGTGCTACATATAACTGGAATGATAGAAATGATAAGCCGAACGTTAGGCATAGTTCAAAGGTAAAATTAATCCCCTTAAGACTAATAAATAAATACCAACAAACAGTGACATTATTATACTCATGCAATTAACACAAACCAATAACACGTTCTAATTTCACCACTCAAAACTATAAATATAAAACATCTGATGTAAGTTATTCAGAGGTGAACATGAATTAACATAATAGAGATCACCTTATTTCCAGCTACCACTTCTAGAGCAACCGCATATTTTAAATCTTTGACACGAAACAATTTCGCAACAGGTCCAAGAACACGACATCTATCGAAATTTGGCTCTGGATCAGTATAATCAAACACAAGTTGAGGGAATTGAGATGATAACGTTGAAGCTTGATGACGTAACTCCCTTGCTTCCTTAACTAAGCCAAGCTGTTGCTCTGTAAATAAAAAAATATACACAATCAGGTAGAGATATTGGGAACATTCTACCAGGATAAGCGGTGGTCTAGTGGTTAAGACGATCGACTTTCAGCCACTAATTCGTGGATTCAAACCCCACTCCACCTATTTTGGTTTCAGTAATCAGATAATATCAGTACTTGCCACATCCAAAGTGTGGCGCAAAGCCAAGTACATTAATCTTTACCTGGCAAATAAAGTAAGTAACTAATTGGATGATAAGCAGCACGAAATGAAAACTAAAGCTAACATATGTTGTTTTTGAATGATATTCATTTTTTATTCCAATAAAATACCTCAAAACATATTCAAAAGTCACAAGAAAATTCTCTCAAATATCCAATAGTGTTTAAAATCAGTTGACTGTTTTTAAGATGGATTAGTCGATAACAGACTAACATACTATCGTCAGCACTGCTCTTCTATATTAACAAACTAATCTTTATATCCGATTGTATAATACAAAAAAAAATACTAGCAAAAATGTTAATGAAATTCGGATTAATCGCTGCTTAAAAAGGCGTGTTCAGTTTGTGCTTTCTACAGATGTACCTACCGACTTAACTCTAATGACTAAAACAAGAAAACTGGATTCATCGATAAAACAACCGATACTTTATGGATCTCAGATCTGTTACGAGGTGACATAATTCTGATTAATCCTATACATAAAATACACTGCCCCACTTGATAGTTATAGGTAATTGGTCACAAAAGTTCGTACAATAATTAGAAGTAACTGTCGACAACTAATAGAAAATCAGAACTTACAGAACATGCCTAAATTTCGTCTGTTAACGCCTAGATTTTAATAACTGCGAAACGTACAGTTAGAGAGTCTCTGTATGCTCAATTAAAGATAAATATGGTCGATGTATGTCCGAGCCACGGGCAGTAAAAAGTATGATGTGAGTGAAACAATCTGCGAGGATGACGGAACGCCAATCACTAACATCTATCGACGTCTTGGACGATGGGCAGAATTTTTCGAAGGGCAGTTCAACTGGCCTGCTGCTCCGGCAACATCGGTCAGACTGTCCTGCCCTCCATGGCCGGTGACGACTGATCCACCAAGTGAGGCGGAAGTCCGCAAGGAACTCCAACTCTTGAAACGTTACAAATCACCGGGCCCAGATGACTTACCTCCGGCTCTTTTTAAAGATAGTGGTGACTTTCTGACTAAGGGACTGACGACGTTGTTTACAAAGGTCTGGGAACTAGAGAGTGTACCAACGTCATGGAATGAGTCGATAGTTGTCCTTATCTTTAAAAAGGGTTCACGTCGTTCCTGTAACAACTATCGGGGGATAAGTCTACTTCCGATTGCGTCCAAGCTATTGGCTTCCGTCATACTTCGTAGGTTGTTCAAAACCCGAGAAAGATTGACTCGCGAGGAGCAGGCTGGGTTTCGTTCTGGTCGAGGATGTATTGATCATATCTTCACCCTCCGCCAAATGTTAGAACACCGTCATACTTACCAAAGGCCAACAATCTCAGTGTTTCTTGACATTAGGGCCGCCTTCGATTCGTTGGATAGGACTGTTCTCTGGGATTGTCTAGTGAAGAAGGGTGTGCCTGAGACGTTTATTAACATCCTAAAAGCCCTATATACAAACACCGCAGGCAGAGTGAGGGCATACAACCACCTCTCTCCATTATTCCATTCAGGCAGTGGAGTTAGGCAGGGTTGCCCAATCTCACCATTCCTCTTCAACTATGCCATCGATGACATTCTGGAAACAGCTTTAATAGATGTAAGTAGTGGCGGTGTGGATCTGTTACCTGGAGAAAGACTTCTCGACCTTGAGTATGGGGATGATATTGTCTTACTGTGCGAGAATGCCCAAGCCATGCACTCCGCACTTAATCAGTTGGCAATCAATGTCCGTAGGTATGGTATGTGCCTCGCACCTTCGAAGTGCAAAGTACTTCTACAAGACTGGCAGGATTCTAATCATGTACTCACTCTGGATGGTGAGCAGATAGAAGTAGTCGAGAAGTTCGTGTATCTAGGTAGCTGCATAAGTGCTGGTGGTGGCGTGAGTGATGAGATCAATGCACGTATAGTGAAAGCCAGAGCGGTTTATGCCAATCTGGGTCATCTTTGGCGCCTTCGTGATGTCAGTCTGGCTGTAAAAGGTCGGATCTACAACGCGTCGGTGAGAGCGGTTCTGCTCTATGATTGTGAAACCTGGCCTCTCCGAGCTGAGGTCGTTAGACGACTCTCTGTGTTCGATCATCGCTGTCTCCGAAGGATTGCTGACATCCAGTGGCAACACCATGTTAGTAATGCAGAGGTTCGGCATCGTGTATTTGGGCGCAGAGACGATAATACAATTGGTGTTATCATCCTGAGACATCGACTTCGATCGCTTGGACATGTTCTACGAATATTGTCCCAGATAATTCCATGTCGTACATTATTTGCCGACTCTGGGACTGGTTGGAAAAAGCGGAGAGGTGGTCAGTATATGACATGGTGTCGTGGTATGAAAGAAAGCTGCAAAGGGCTAGCTTCTGTTGGTCCTTCACGACTCCCCGGCTGGGGTCCGAGAGATGGTGTAACATAGTGGCTAGAGACGTTATCAGATATGGCTCAGAATAGAAGCCAGTGGCGATCCTGTTGTAACCTTCTTTTACTTTCTTCGTAAAAAGTGATTGCTTCTTCCTTAACTGAAAGATTTCTTCTGATTGTACCGTTTCGTTCCCCCCATTATTATTACTATTACACTAACTTACAATAATCTGTTCGTTATTGTTCTTTTTTAACGCTCCATACCCTTCTTTCTTTTTTCCCCTTCTCTTTAAATTCTCACTGTTTTGTGTGGCGCATATATATTTAGTGCCCTCTTGTACCAATATTTATGTGTTCAAATAAATAAATAAATGGAGAAATAAGGCGGTTAGTGTACAAAGCATGACAATCATACTTATCCTAACTTTCTGAGAGTATCACTTACAATCTAATTTAAAGATAACAGTACAAACAATGCCCTAGTATGGCCGAGGGTGGGGAGAGTCCACTCTCCCTCTCCAAATGCTCTCACATGGACACACGTATGTAACCACTGTCAGGGAAGTCCTATCCACTGCCTTCTCACGGCGAAGGTCTTGTTTACGAAATTGAGAGAATGAAAAGCGAATATCCGGCACTTTAACCGGGTCGGTTGATATGGAAGATCCATCTATGGAAATTGGAAAACCGTGATTCCAAACCAATGGTGCACATGGGCTTCAGGATCCTGAAGGATCAAATGGCGTATGGGCCCTATTGCTGGTCATCGGCTACTATGGGACTGCATCTCTTAACGTTGCTCCACTGCATTGTGGTTTAGACATCTAGGTCAAAGGCTCCGGGTGCGGTTCCCTAAAAAAGCCATCTGCTTCGGTTTGAGCACCCGGACCAGTATCCCGACCCAGGCACAAATCACGTGACTTGTGTGGCACATATGTATTCGGTGCCCCTTTGTACCAATGTTTGTGTGTTGAAATAAATAAATAATGAAATTACAACATAGCCAGCCAGATGATATGCACAAAACCTTTCGAGAAATAAAAATTTTGACGCGGTAAACTGCATTCCCATTATACTAGTTTATCACACAATCCAAACAACAAAAGTCGGTATAAATCACTTTCAAAAAAGGAATTCAATACACATGAGTTTCATTGAGTAATGCTTCATCACTTACCACTTAACACAGATTCGCTTCCAGCAGCTCTATCATCCGCCTCAGCTCGTGTCAATTTTTTAGTTAATTCGTCAATATGTGCATTAAGTTCCTTTTGTTTTATTTCCTCTTTAGACTCTCCGTCTATTGACCCATGTCCGAAAGTTTTAATGACAATGGCTTCTTGTTTAGCAAGCTCATTTTGTAGATGTTTCTGACGCATTTTCAGTTGGGAAAGTTCAGTTTGTGCGGAGCACTTTTCACCATCTGCAACTCTAACCTGTTCAGCAAGGCTAGCAGCAACACCATTTTCTCCACTGGAAAGACCAGATTTTACTGCCTTTACACGTAATAAATAAAAATGTATAAGTCTTAAAAAATGTATGCTAACTAATTAATTAATCTATCCAATTTACAGACTAAGTATACGACAAACCATAAGTTAGGTCCCAAAGCTTGATAAATGTATAAAAAAAGGCAGAACTGGCCAGAAACGGGGTCAACTAGTAGTTTGCTTGAAATTTTTGGTCATTTAATTTCCAACTTTGCAAATATTACAGGGAATGTCTATGCTGTTTTAATTATTTGTCAAAATAGAATAAACTTGGTTTAAACTGTAACTTTCGGGGTCGTTTTACGGATTATTGTTAAACATATTTTTATTATATAATTGTTAAACAACTGGATTATTGTATCTCTACATTTTTTGTATTATAATTTTTCACTAGACACAACTTTCGTCATATCTTACTGATCCTTAACTACTCCTAATTAGTTTTTAACCCTTTGTTCCGTTTACTGCCACTTATGGCTTGTGTAGGAAATATTTCTTATCTGTGAGATGTGGTCACCGGCTACCATGGGACTGCATCTCCTCACGATGCTCCACTGCCTTGTGGATCAGATCTTCAGGTCAAAGGCTCGGGGTGTGGCCCCCTAAGAAAACCACCTGTTTCGGTTTGGGCACCCGGGCAGTATCACAGCCCTCACACATATCAAATGAGATCTGTGTGGCGCATATGTATTTGGTGCCTTCTTGTACCGATATTTATGTGTTAAAATAAATAAATAAAATAAATGTGAGATGTGGTGGTTTGATAATTCATGTATATTGGCTCATATGTTTGAATATGATGAACTAAACTGAGTTACAACAAAGATGTCCCTGCTAACTTCGTTTTCTGATTAGACATTGAGTTGGCAAGAGTTAAAGGGTAAACAAGTGCTAGCTTTTTGGTCGTTAGTTACTGATCATTATCACTGGTCAGTTAGAAGACCAGTCATCCACAGGTGATACAGACAGACACAACGACTATCTGCTCTTATTATAAACAATCCGATTAAATGAGGAAAATAAAGGGAAAAAGTCTTGAAGATATAACAGTTTTAGCTGGCTACATATTTATATTAACTATCTAATGCACTGAAGTGCTTTTACAAAATGTATACAACCTATCGTAAAGATAATTACTGTTGAATTCAAGTGAAGATATTACGGTGGTTGCCATAATTTTCTTCTCGTAAGCCCATTAGATAAACGAAAGATGAGTGAGTTTGGGTTCATGTATCGAATATACTATGTTGTGGGAAAAGATGTCGAAAAGGGCAAAGCAGATTTACGGCAGATGATGGTTCAAAGAAATTTCGAGCATTATCAAGTTAAATGATCATTATATTGGAATTTATTGCAATATAATGAATTGATACTGCGAATTACTAACGGTAGCCAACAAATAAAGCAACTGTTATTACCATCAGTAAACTGACAAAAACCCAGCTTACGAAGACACTTATTGAGTTCAAAATTTATATCAACAGTCGTTGTTTATATAACCGATTCACTACTCTATTCTAGTTATGGACACGATAGCTTAATCATCACAAGTGGTCACTCGCTAATATGGAACAACTGATTCAAATAATTTCAATGTAATATCTGAAGTAAATGCTTACCTGTAAACGCTTTTGAGCCGCTTCAAATTTAACTTTCGCTTCTTCTGACTGTGCTAGAACGGACTTGTACTCAATACCAGCAGCAGCTTCCGCTGCTTTCTGTTTAGAAGACAACTGCTCATCAAGCTCAATACACTGTGACTCCATGGACTTAACACGCTGTTTGGCGGCCCGAAGAGATTCAGATGCTCTTTGAGAAGCTCCCTTAGCAACTGCTTCTGTTTTTTGGCATGCAGACATTGTAGATTCTAATTCTTCAAGTGCTGTCCCTTGATGCTTTAGATAAGCGCTTTAAGAAGAAAACCGTACAGCCTACCTCATCTCTTTGTTTGCAAAGTTCAGCAATACGACTTTCTATAATTTCCTTTGACTTTCGAAGCTAAAAGACAAACGGGATAAATAAAATCACTACGGTGAAATTACTTCTTCCATATTCCTTTTTTGCTCATTCAAAGAACGTTCAAGTGCAATTAAATCTCCTCTTGTTCGTTTTTTAGCTTCCTAAAAGCCAGGTATATATTAGCCGATAACCTTGATAGTCCACTAACCTCTAAACAAGTATAGTCATGAGCGACAATAAACTTCTCCAGATGATTAATTTCACGTACAACTTTCTGATACTCTAAATAACTGCTCCGTTCTTCACGTAATTTTTTGATAGTAGGGTTAATATCTTCAGTAAGAATCTAAAAAAACGACATAGTAATAAGTAAAAAATCTCACTCTATCTATTTCTCTTAATTTGCTATCTTTCTTTTCAATAGTTCTAAGTGCTGCTTCCTTTTTGTTTTCATATAGCTTGGTGCTTGCTGCTTCTTCTAATAATGATAGGATCTAAAGTATATATTTAAATACACTATAACACTTATTTGACTTACCTCAGGTGGTTTCATATTTAATATTTTCGTAATCCTACCTTGCATAATTAGAAAGTGAGGATTATTAACATTAAGTTGAACTGAGTGAAATAAATCATGAACCCTTGTGGTGGTTGCGTTTGTTCCGTTAATCAGATATTTATTTCTGCCTCCAACGACAATCTGCTTTGTGATTGTAAGCTCATCAAACTGCTCATAACCATATGGGGATTGTGACTTATCCATATTGTCAAATACTGCGCTTACGGTAGCCTTGTTTATTCCTGCTTGACCACATTTGTAAACCAATTCATGTAGGTTTGCTGCCCTCACCTATAGTCGACTTGTCAAGAAAGCCAATCAACTTACATGCGAAAGATTTGTTATTCCAAGTAAGAAGCATATAGCATCTAATATATTTGACTTTCCGGAGCCATTTAGACCAGTAATCGCATTGAACTGTGGATCAAATCCACCAATTTCCGTTCTCTGACAATAGGATTTGAAACCATCAATGACCAACGACTTTATATACATTATGAAACGCCAAACACCTGGACATCCAGATAGTACGCAATCTAAGTACATGACAAACAAATAAATGCTTAGGACAAGGAATCTGCAACATAGAGATAGGCACAAATTTATGTTTATAAACTTTACACCAATACAAGAAAAAACAACAACATGGAAATTATAGTGGTAGTATTTGAAACTTAAAATTTAATATTGACTTCTAAGTCGAGTTTCGACATGATGATAGCATTTGTTACCAACAGTCACCAGACTTATTCTATCCGTCTGATTACCACAAGAACTAAGAGTGCTATATATTTTCCTGAACTTGATACGTGGAGTGACTGTTTATTATAAGACCACTGTATCTAATTACAAGGCTACGGACCTTTAGCCACTCAGAAAATGAAATTTAAACCAACGACAAGGTTCAATGAAATAACCTTGAATTGAATGGTTCAAATGGTTGTGGACGGAATAGAAGAAGCTTTCTCTTTACAGGCCTCCGTGTCTAGTAGCAGGGGATCACCAATACCTCCAGGCAAGAACCTAGGTGTATTAACGATAAAAGAGAAAAAACAATGAATTGGTAAATCATAGTAAGATACTATCCTTAGTCCTTTAGAATAGATCAAGTCGCCTCTTAAAGGACTCCTGAGAAGTTGCTCGGACTAACTCAGCTGACAACGAATTCCAGCATTTGACAACTCTTAAGGAGTAGTTGTGCCTGCAGTCCGTTCTACTATGTTGTATCTCTAATTTCTGGGTGTTACCCCTTAGGTTAGTGTTGGGACTAAGCTTAAGTAGGTGTTTAAGAGGATGTCCAAGTGTGTTAAGGATACTATAAGCCATTAGAAGGTCACCTCTAAGACGCCTATACTCTAATGGGTAAAGGTCGAGTGATTGGAGGCGCTCATCGTAAGGTTTAAATTTGAGTCCCCGAACTGATTTCGTGGCTCGCCGTTGGGTACGCTCCAGATTGTCCTTATCCTTTTGGAGTGTAGGAGGGAATACTATGTTTCCGTACTCTAAATGGAGATGAATGAAACTATTGAAGATTATGTGGAAAGTTCTCCCGTCAAACTGACCAAAAATGCTCTTTAATGTTACCAGTGCCAGGTTGGCTTGAAAGGCATTTCTGTCACAGTTGGCGTAAGACTTTAAGTCGTAGGGCACCAGAACTCCTAAATCTTTTTCGACTCGTGATACTACTAGAGAGGAGTTCCCTAAGTTGTAACTGTAATCTGCGACGTGTCGCAGATGGACTACTTTACATTTTGAAGTGTTAAAGGTAAGTCTGTTATCGTCTGCCCAACTTTGAAGTCGAGTCAGATACTCCTGAAGTGCCTGTATGTCCTCTTGGTTGCGTATCTCTCTCCAAAGTTTCACGTCATCGGCAAAAAGTAATATGTCTGACGTGACCTGTTGAGGAAGATCATTTATATAAATCAGGAAGAGGAAATGTCCTAGTACTGTGCGCTGAGGGACCCCACTAGGACATTCCATAGCCTTTGAGAAATTAAAGTTTACCCTGACCTTAAAATGTTGATTTGTCAGATATGAACTGAGCCAGTCAATTAAAGGAGGTTTGATACCCAATTTTTTGAGCTTGCTAATAAGACAGATGTGCTTAACCCTATCAAAAGCTTTAGAGAAATCAAGGTAAATGATGTCCACCTTCCCCCTGCGATCAACGATGCTTGTCAATCTGTCCATCGCGGTCAGCAGGTTCGTCATACAGGAGTAACCCTTCCTGAAACCATGCTGTCGGGGTGAGAAGAAATTTAAGGACAGCAGACAGTCGTGTATACCATCGTATACCAGGGACTCCATGATCTTTGAAGGTATAGAGAGAAGAGCCCACCGGTCGATAACTTGAAGGTTCGCTGCGTCGACCTCCTTTGAAGATTGGTGCGATATGAGACAGCTTCCAAATATCCGGTAGTTTGCCTCAACTTAGCGGTGTTGCCAGGATTGAAGCTGCTTCCCTCAGTATAGCAGAGTGGACCATGTCCGGACCAGGAGAAGTGTCTGTTCTTAGGTGTTGTAGTTTACGAAACACCAAGTCAGCGCTCAGTTTCACTACGGAAAGTCCTGTGCAACTGCAGATAGAGCCGTCATCCGTATAGTTGATGTGGGACGGTTGAAATGTCCGGGAGTATTGCTCAGCCAGGAGGTTAGCGGCGTCACCGCCATTATCGGTCGGGCCGTTAGGACCTAGTAGTTGAGAAACTCCAGTTTTGGCTTGACGAAGAAAGGCTGCGCAACGGAATAAGCTTTTCGGATTGGAAATAAATTTATCCATAAGCTTTAACTGGTAATGGAGCCTGTCTTCTCTTATAGCCTTCCTACATATATTCCTTATATGTTTGAATTGCCTGTACTCGCCATTGTTGTTGGTTCGTTTGTATTCTGCCCAACAGTGCCTTTTACGGCTTAGCAAACTAAGAGTGCGGTTTTTGATGATTGTAGGTTTCATGTGGCTTTTGGGGACCGTTTGAGGAACTGACTGCTTTGTAGCACATAAGAGCGTGTGTAATAGGAAGTTCCAATGAGCATCCACATCAAGTTGAGAGTGAACATCCCAAAGCACCTGTCGTAGATAGTCCTGTAAAGATGACGCATTCAACCGTTTGAAATTCCAGCGCCTGTTGTTGTTGGGATATCTTAGCTCAGTTTTGCTGACGAAACTGAAGGCTATAACGGCGTGATCGCTTTTCCCCAGGGGAGCCAGGATTGAGAGGTTGTCGACTAGAAATCCTTCATTTGTAAAAACACAGTCTAAGCGCGACGGTGTCTGACTGTTCCTCCAACGAGTAGCCAACTTCACATTTTCGTGTAGTCCCAAATTCTCAATGAGGTTGAAGAACCGAGCTTCGATTGAATTTTCACCTCCAGTATACGTATGTTCCGCGAAGTTGACTCTAGGGAGATTGAAGTCCCCTAGAATCAGGATATGAGTGAAACCGAGATGCGTAGAGCGGGATAGTCCTTCCAGCATGCGACTGTCGTACTCGATGTTGGCAGTGGGCTTCCTATATATGTCTCCGACTAGGCACCTCGAAGTAGTGGACAATCTCACAGAAGACCATATAGATTCCTCAAGATTGTCAAACTCATGGTTGTGAACTTGGTGTACCTCCAAGCCAGATCTTATGTATAGGGCTACTCCACCCCCAATTCCTGTTTTTCTGTCGTTGCAAAACAGAGACATCCCAGGTATTGCTAGCTCCTGGACCGAGTAATGAGGAGATATCCAATGTTCAGATATTTCTATCAGAAGAACCTTATTAGCGTTGCTAAGTTCACTTAGTTCATCCATTTTATTTGGTAGACTCACGGCGTTCATGTATAAGCAGTTAATGCTTTCAATTTGAAACGCGTGAGCTTCTTCCTGTTTGTCTGTGAGAGCCTTACGTGGGTGGACAGGTAACTCACCTATACAAGTTTTGTCGAATTGGTAGGCTTTGTCCTTTACATGTTTTTTTATCTTGAAGACAGTCCACAAGTGGAATAGTCAGCTCCAGCTTGCCTTTGTGCTTGATCCTGGCGTCGTATGATCTGTCCGTGTGCATGTGGATCCCAGTTGGGAACCGACGTCTGTTGACACGAAATGCTTCCAGAGCTGCAGCCGCCATATGGGAGGATGGAAAAGTTATCCTCATTAGTCGGGGTCTAGGATCCCCGTCCTTCTTGGCTAGTCTCATCACATGCTGAGTCAGTATGTTTTTAAGCCTCAAGGACTGTTTGATGAATTTCCATTCCCGAATATCAGAGTTTGCTTGAGCAGGGTCCATGTTTTCCGGTACACCTTGCACGATGATATTTCTTCCGCGGAAAAATATCTCTCGAGAATCTTTAGGGACGTTCCGGATGAGATTGAGCTCAGAGTACGGTATGTCGGGCAGTATTCTGACGTTCCCATCGGATTTCAGTAGATGACTAGCTAGCAGGACGTCCTCTACTTCGGTAGCATTCCTGAGTGTTACACGAAGTAGTCTCGGGTGATTTTTATGTTTAGATTCCTTTCCTCGAGTGAGCCGTGTGACAGTCAAAGGCTCTATTCTAGGAAGTTCGAGCTTTTTGTTCAGTTCACCCCAGAGCATCCTGTCGTTTTTGTCCTGCAAACTGAGAGGAAGGTCAGGATTGTCTATGAGGCTCATGATTATGAGAGAGTCGTCACTGACCATTGTTGTTTTCCCAGATTTTCCGGTGAGCTCAGGTTTAGTACGTTGTTGTTTGGAGGTCAAAGCAGGTTTTTGAGTCGTAGGCTTTTCGATAACCGGGCGGACGTTTTTGGGGGTAGACTGAGCCATCGAAGCACCAGTTGATTTCCGTACAACACTTGGGATGTCAACCTTAGACGGTGGCACCTGGTCCTTACTAGCTCTGTTGGAGCGGGTACAGTCACCTACAGGGTTTTTAGGAGCCACTGTTGCGTTTAAGGACCATGAACTGGAAGATTCAAGTTTAGTGAGGGAGTCAATTACCGTCGACGTAATGATGGTGCTGAGTTTCAGCATTTCATCATTAGTGCTAATGCGTGTTCCATCGATGGTAGACTTATTGACATCCCTATTTTTATTTTCGTTGCGCACCCTTGTTTGTCTACCTACTTTATGGCTATCTGTTTCCAAGTTTACTGACAATTTGTTCCGCGGACCTGTCAGCAGAACAATGATGTTGCTCAGCAGTACTACAGCGTCCGTGTTGCACGTAACACACATCCACTTACGGTCCGATTTGCTGAGTCACTTGTAAGCAGTTGCTGTAAGATCTGTGCACATTTCGTGGAACCAACCTTTGCAGTTGTCGCACTGCATGCCAGATGTAACAGCGAACCGGCATCCAGGTCGTTTGCATGAATTTTCCATGGCTGTATTGACGTAAACTGTGTTAGAGATAGTATCAAAGCTTAAGACCGTTAAAAATACACAAAAAACCACACTAAAACGGGAAAAATGTATAAAAACGGATGAGATAAAATGAACTAGCCTTTACGTGAAAAACTGAAAAAAAAA